GAGCGATAGGGAGATAGAGATAGAGAGACAGAGATGAGAGACAGAGATAGGAGAGACAGAGAGATAATCGATAGATAGATAGATAGATAAGGAGATAAAAAGAGGAAGGGTGAGGGTGAGGGTGAGGGTGAGGGTGAGGGTGAGGTGAGGGTGAGGTGAGGGTCGAGGGTGAGGGTGAGGGGTTGAAGGGTGAGGGTGAGGGGAGAGGGAAGTGAGGGAGAAGGGAGAGGAGAGGGAGGAGGAGATGGGAGATGGGGAGAGGGTGAGGGTGAGGGTGAGGGAGATGGGAGAAAGGATGAGGGAGAGGGGAAGAGCGAGAGGGGAAAGAGGGGAGAGAGAGAGAGAGAGAGAGAGAGAGATAGAGAGGAGAGAGAGACGGAGATGAGAGAGAGGAGATGCGAAGAGAGAGAGGAGAGGAGAGGAGGGGAGAAGGAGATGAGGGAGAGGGAGAGGGGCCTGTATGATATATAGAGGGTATATCGGAGAGAGGGGATAGATGGGAGAGAGGTGAAGGAGAGGGGAGAGGGAGAGAGGGAGAGAAGGGAGAGGGAGAGAGAGAGGGAGAGGAGGAGAGAGAAGAGGGAGAGAGGGAGAGAGGGAGGAAGAGGGAGAGAGGATAGAGAAGGAAGAGAGCAGAGAGGAAGAGAGGGAGAGAGAGAGAGAGAGAGAGAGAGGAGAGAGGAATGAGAGAGAGAGAGAAGAGAGAGGAGAGAGAGAGAGAGGGAGGGAGAGAAGAGAGAGAGAGTAGAGAGAGAAGAGAGGAGAGAGAGAGAGAGCAGAGAGAGAGATGAGATAGAGAGGAGAGAGAGAGAGAGAGGAGGCAGAAGAGAGAGACGCTAGAGAGTGAGAGAGATGAGAGAGAGAGAGTAGAAGAGAGAGAGAGAGAGAGAGGGAAAATAACGATTACATTAAAACCAAAAGAGAGACTGAAATGATTATAGTGAAACCGAGATGGATCGAGATTAAGAGAATGAGACTTAGAGGAAGATGATGATAATTATGATACAGACAGTAATAAAAGAACAAGCAAGCAAGAGAATGATAATATTAAGAACAAGAAAAGAGAGTGCATTAGAGCGTAATGACGATAAAAAAGAGAGAATGGTAATTGTAAGACAGACAATATCGGTGAACGTGTGTGTGTGTATGTGTATGTGTGTGAGCGTGAGTGTGGGTGTGAGTGTGAGAGTGAGTGTGTGTGTGTTTGTGTGTGTGTGTGTGTGTGTGTGGTGGTGTGTGTGTGTGTGTGGGTGTTGTGTGTGTGGGTGGTGTGTGTGTGTTGTGGTGTGTGGTGCGGCGTGGCGTGTGCGTGTGTGTCTTTGTGTTCTGTCCCCGTCCGTCCATCTCCGTCCGTCCGTACTTTTGTCTACACATGTGCACCGTCTAATCTTTGTCCGTGCCTCTGTGTGTGTGTATCAGTGTGTATATGTGTATATGTGTGTATCAGTGCATGTGCGTGCGCGTGCGTGTTCTAATCTGGCCAATCGAGTGATTAACACTCGGGCTTCGTGCGTGGCCGCGCTATCGCCTCAGTATCTCGAGGGTTGCATGTTTGCCTTGGTTCGGATAATTCCCTGCTTCGTTATGGGATAAGTAAAGAGAAGGAGGAGAAGAAGGGAGAAGAAGGGAGGAGGGGAAGGAGTAGGAGATGAAGGGAGGGAAGGGTAGGGTAGAAGGGAGGGGGAAGGAGGAGGAGAAGAAGGGGGAAGAAGGGAGGGGAAGGAGTAGGAGAAGAAAGAGGGAGAAAGGGAAGAAGAAAGAAGAGAGTGGAGAAGAACAAGGGGGGAAGGGAGAGAAGGAGGTTCAAGAAGAAGAAGAAAGAGAAGAAAAAAATGGAGGAGAAGAGGGATCAGTGCAAATGGAGAAAGAGAAAGAAATTTACAAAGGTAAGAAGGAAGAAGAGGAGAATGAGATAAAATAGGAAAGAAGGAGAAAGAATAAGAGAAGAAAAAAGGAAAACTAAGAACATGAAATGGATGGTAGATAGAGCTTGCAAATGGGGATCAGAAGAGAAATAGAAGAAAAAGATAAAAACTAGAAAATAATACCCAGGAGAAGAGGACGGAGAAGGGCATGTGCAACAGAATGCAAAAGAGATCAAAGGACCAGGGAATTGGGGTAAAAGTAGAAGAGGAGCAGAGAGAGAGAAAAAAAAGAATTGAAAAAAATGTTATCAGAAATCTTAATGAAGGAATTTTCGACTAGTTTACAACGAGCAAGATTTTTGGGCGCCGTTCGAGATGAACATCTGATATCCTGGGAATACAAACGGCGAAAGATTTAAAAAGATTGAGAGAGATGAGGGGGGGGGAGGAGGGGAGGGAAGAAGAAAGGAGAGGTGGAGGAGGAGAAAGAGAGGTGGAGAGGAGGAGAAAGAGAGATGCGGAGAGAGAGAAGGAAGAGGAGGGGGAAGAAAGAAAGAGAGGTGGGGAGGGGAGAAAGAGAGAAGCGAGAGAGTGGGGAGGAGGAGAAAGAGAGGTGGGAGGGGGAGAAAGAGAGATGGCGAGAAGAGAGGGGGGGGGGGAAGGAAGGGAGGGGAAGAAGAAAGAGAGGTGGAGAGGAGGAGAAGAGAAGATGGTGAGGAAGGGGGGGGGAAGAAGCGAGAGGGAGAAGGGAAGAAGAAAGAGAGGTGGGGAGGGAGGAGGAAAGAGAGGTGAGGGAGCAGAGTGAGAGAAAGGCGGCGAGAGAAGGAGTGAGGGAGAGAGAAGAAGGGGGGGAGAAGAGAGAGGGAGGAGGAGAGGGAGAGAAAGAAGAAAGAGTGGGAGAGGGGAGAAAGAGAGATGGCGAGAGAGAGGGGGGGGGGGAGAAGGAGAGGGAGAGGGAAGAAGAAAGAGAGATGGAGAGGGGAGAAAGAGAGATGGTGAGAGAGGGGGGGGAGAAGGAGAGGGAGAGGGAAGAAGAAAGAGAGGTGGAGAGGAGGAGAAAGAGAGATGGCGAGAGAGAGAGGGGGGGGGGGAGAGAGGGAGAGGGAAGAAGAAAGAGAGATGGAGAGGAGGAGAAAGAGAGAGAGAGAGAGAGGGGAAGGAGAGGAGAGGGAAGAAGAAAGAGAGGTGGAGAGGAGAGAAAGAGAGAGTGGAGAGGAGGAAGAAGAGAGATGGCGAGAGAGGGGGGAGAGGAGAGGGAGAGGGAAGAAGAAAGAGAGGATGGAGAGGAGGAGAAAGAGAGATGAGAGAGAAAGAGAGATGGGAGGGGGAGGAAAGAGAGATGGAGAGGAGGAGAAAGTGAGATGGAGAGGGGGAGAAAGAGAGATGGAGAGGAGGAGAAAGAGAGATGGAGAGGGGGAGAAAGAGAGATGGAGAGGAGGAGAAAGTGAGATGGAGAGGAGGAGAAAGAGAGATGGAGAGGAGGAGAAAGAGAGATGGAGAGGAGGAGAAAGAGAGATGGAAGAGGAGGAGAAAGAAGAGATGGAGAGGGAGAAAGAGATGGAGAAGGAGGAGAAAGAGAATGGAGAGTAGGAGAAAGAGGGCGAAGGAGATGGATAAAAAGAGGGAGAGGAAGAGGAGAGGGGGAGAAGTAGAGAAAGGAGAGAGAGGGGCAGGGGCAGGGATAAAGAGGGAAATGAAGGAGGGGAGGAGGGGTAAAGGGAAATGAGGAGGGAGAGAATGAGAAGGGATGGGAGTAAAAAAAAAAAGGGGGGGGGAGAAGGAATAGGGGAAGGAGAAGAAGTGGAAGCGGAAGAGGCAGAGGAGGAAAAAGAGAGGAAGAGGGGGAAAGAAAAGGGAGGGAAGGAGGAAGGGAAGAATGAGAAGGGGAGGGAGAGGAGGAAGGGGATGAGAGATGAGGGCAAAGGAAAAGGGGGAAGGAAGAGAAGGAAAGAAATAGGAAGAAGGGGGAAACGAGAATGGAAAGGGGGGATAAGAGGAGGAGGGAGAGAGAGAAGAAAACGGGAAGAATGAGGAAGTAGGGCAGAGAGAGAAAAAGGGAGAGAGAGAGGAAAAAAATAAGTGAAAGAAAGAGACAGACAAATAGACACACAGAGAGAGAGAGAGAGAGAAAGAGAGAAAGAGAAAGAAACAGACAGAACCACAGACAAGAGACAGATAGACCAATAGACAGACAGAGAACGAGAGAGAATAAAGCCAGAGCAAATATATATGTTTACCCCGTTTCATTCTGTTGTTTGGACAGGCCGAGGAGTGTGATTGCCGCTGCATTTACATACCTCTTATAACCTGTCGGACCAACCGGTTGCCAGTTACCAAATTTGGCGGTCGAAAATTATTCGCGTTTTTTTTTTTTTTTTTTTTTTTTTGTGTTTATTGTTGTAGTTTTTTTTATTGCTGCGTTTTTCTTTTGCATGTTTGGGTGAGTGTGATTGTTGGGGAGTGTGTGTGTGGGGGGGGGGTGTGGTGTGGGGGGGGGGTTGTGGGTGTGTGGTGTATGTGTGTGTGTGTGTGTGTGTGAGTGTGTGTGTGTGTGTGTGTGTGTGTGTGTGTGTGTGTGTGTGTGTGTGTGTGTGTGTGTGTGTGTGTGTGTGTGTGTGTGGTGTGTGAGAGAGAGAGAGAGAGAGAGAGAGAGAGAGAGAGAGAGAGAGAGGAGAGAGAGAGAGAGAGAAGAGAGAGAGAGAGAGAAGAGAGAAAAAAGAAGTAAGG